AGATACGTCAGGGCTTAAGAAGCCCTAGTTCCTAAAACCGAGACCCCTAAAACAATTCTTGATTCAGGGTCCTCAAATTGTTCGGGGGGGGGGGCCCTCCATACTAAACAGGGTCCAACATAGCTAGTCAAATCTTATCTGGAATGAATGAAGCTGCCGCATGGCAGTTCCTACTGTATGTGCTTTAAGGACGATCTTATGACATGGACTTCATGCAAGAAATGCGGACATCATCTCAGCGAGTAGCTGGACTCCTGGAGTTACTTGCTCAAGAATGTAGAGCTGGTCGCAATCGAGCACCCACATCAATACACTTGTCATATCAGTTTCTGTCTTCGGCAATGAAACCGAAGGACTCCCTTTCCGGCCATTGACGGCAACCTACATCATAAAATGCCACACTGCTCAAACGGAAAAACTGAACTCTGTGCACAGGCCGGCCAGAAACCTCGGTCGACCCCCTCCAAAACTTCAGGACTCAAACGACGCGAGCCCACATTTGCAACAGAAATCCCCGGCCACTGGGGCCGCGGCAGCCGCAAAGATTGCACATAACTGATGCAGAGTTTCGACCTCACGCGTGATGCTTTCAGCAGCAGCTGTCACCAGGAAGACTGCTTCCATCTTTTCGTGCAGAGGAGTTCCACCAAAACTCTGTAATGGAGAATCATATGGAACAGAAAATGTAAGGTGACATTGGGGTTGGGATGATATCCCTAAACCCTGAACCCTAAACCTTGAGGGGTCTCAGAGCCCAAAAAAATCTATGTAGCCAAGGTTTGTGGATGTGGGGATCCCACAGAGGGTGCTTGCCGGGGTCTGACCACACCCTAAGCCCCGGCCCTCTACAACCATAAACTCCGACGAGGTGAAAGAACTTAACTGAAACCGCCTTGACCAAAAAGATGACAGGCCAACCCTGTCCGTTCATAGAACCAAGACCCCGTAAGGTAGGGCTCCCATGACTGGATGCGCCCAGATTCGCAGTACAGGGTACTCAATGTTGTCTGCTTGAACCCATGTTGCAACATCAAGCCGCCAGCTGGTGACAAAGGGCGCGGTTTGTCCAACATTAGAGTAACGATTCTGGATACCTTCTTCACAGAAGCAAGACATAACATTCCCCAAACACACATGGAAGCAGCATGGAATACTGTTCTTTTTCCAGGGGCTAGACGCGCTTTCCGGTTAATTTGCGGGAAGCAGATCAGATATTTATTTTTCGGATGTGCTTGCAGCATGTTGGTTTACACAGACAGACGAGAGACGGAGAGCCACGCGACATAAGAAATTGCTCTGTTATCTGTTGCTTTCCCGCCGGGAAAGTTGGGGGGGTTTAGGGTGTGTAACTCCTTATGAGCTATAATCTAAACTCCTGTATCCCCCTCAGTAACCCTTATACTATACCCCTATATAACCCCTCAAAGGAGTTTAGCCCATAGCTCTTATGCGTAATCCTATGTTGCGCCCTTGTAAAACGACGCACCACTGAACCCTAAATCATCTGACCTAGTCCTGTAAGCCAAGGTCTTTCTTGACCGACCTTTTCGTATCCCACCCCGCTGTGGCCCCTGAGCCGTACTCTGAGACCCAGAAAGTCCCATACCCCCTGAAGTAACACACAAATCCATGAAATATTGATGAGGATCCAAATGTAACTTATTGTTTACATTCCTCTTGAAGGTGTTTTGCATTGTAGGCGGAGAGCACCCCTCGGAAACTCTTGGATTAGAGGAAAGCCTCATGCTTGCTAAGCAACATGTGGGCATTCAGGGGTCCCTAAGCGCGTGAGGGGAGAAGAGTCGGCTCTCGAATGTTTGCACATCAAGCCTGCAAAGCCCTGGGCCCCGCCTGCCTGCCTGGAGGTGCATGGTGCTGTATCTGATAAGAGTTTCGGGTTTCGTTTTGGGTAGTTACAGCCCTACTTACAAATACCCATGGGGTTTAAACCTTCATATATTGACATATACGCTCATGTAACCCCTTGTAACCCCTGAGAAAAAAAGGCCCACAACCCTACTCATGACTACCTGTGAACCCTAAACTCTAAGCCCTCCAAGGGGCCCTCCCCTAAACCCTAAACCCTAAAACCTTTATGGTAAGGTGCCCTCAACAAATCCAGTAGCCCGGCCTTGCCGCTAAGGTCGTCGGACCTCGAAGGGTAATTAGCACCTGAGGCTGGGTTAATGTTAAGGAACTGAAATGAAGTTCCTATGAGGAAACCCCATCCCCTACTATAGACACATATTATTCTGGTAACCCTAAACCCTATATGCGTCTGCGCTCCACATTCCCCCCCCCCAATGGGGCCCCTCGGGGTCGCCATCCTCGTAACTGTCAGCACTTTTGACGCTTGAAAGCTGCCTTCCTCGTAACTGTCGTGACTTTTGGACCTGCATGTTGCCGTCGCGTCCCAAAAGCGTCAACAGTCACAGGGATCAGGGTGGCCCTCATCGCTATCCTCGCAACTGTCATCGCTTTTGACACATCATATTGTTGTCTCGCTTTAGAAGTACTCACAATCACGGATCAGCTTGGTCGTCATCCTGCATAAACCTTCTACAACCCTTTGTAAACCTTCTTGAAATCCTCTATGAACTGTTCTAAGCCCTCTAGAAACTGTTATACACCCTACAAACCCTTCATAAACCTAAGATAAACCACGAGACCCAGACCAGAGGCCACAGGACCAGATCGGGGGTGAAGAGTTTATGAACCCTCCAGAAACACAATAAACCTATTATAACCCAGACCACAAGCCACAGCACCACGGGGGGGGGGGGGTTACGAACCCTCTACAACCACAGTAAACCTTCTCTAAACCTAGTTTAGACCACAGGACAAGACCCACAGGCCACAGCAGGGGGGGAGGGGGGGGTGACCTTCTCTAAACCTAAATCGAGACCACAGGACAAGACCTACCTCACAGGCCACCGGGGGGATACCATGGGCGGGGAGGAGGGGGGTGGTGGATGCTGGCGCATATATACCCATATTCTGGTAACTTCATGGGAAACACATATCATGGTAACTTCATGTAAGCTCCTTAACAGCAACGCAAGAAGGGTTGAGGCTTTGACGCTAAGGGGTCATGTATATAACTACTATAGTACAAGTTAGGGTTTAGGCCTTACCTGTAATCCAAACTACCTGTAGCCCACAGCTTAGCAGTAAGCATCCCCCCCATTTTTCGATACTCTCTTTGGAGCTGTAGATAACTGTATGCAGTTGAGGCCACAAGTGGGCTTGAAGGTGGGAATTCCTGGAAGTTCAGACATGCCTGATTGGAGCGTGGGGGCTCCTTTGAGGTTCAGGCTTTAAAGTTGTCCCCTAAACCCGAAACCCCTATAATTACCCTAATCCCAAAACCCAAAACCCTAACCCCTATACCTTAAACCCTATACCCTAAACCCTAACCCTATGACCACCAATCCGCATGTGGAAGTTTCCCCACATCAGGGTCCGCTGTTACCAGCCTCAGGCATGAATTTTCTTAATGCTGGCATCCCACTCATGATGCCAAGAATAGCGGCCTTTTTTCCCGTAAACACTGGAGAATTGAACTTCTCAAACCAAACCATGGGTATAAAGGCCATTGTTATCGGCATCTGGGAGGTCTAGGGATTAGTTTCCAAACCCCAGCGCCCTCAAAATGTGCGCTCCGCGATAATCATTGCTCGGCGTTCAAAGGTTGCAGTAGAACCTGCAACATAAATGGCCCTGACCACAGACTGTTTTCGGAAACGTATGATGTATATTATTGATATATGACAAATGCGAATAAATGATGCGGGTTTCCTTGCAAGGCACACTTACTTGGGGCGACTCAGATGCCAGCTAAGTAAATCAACACATATACCTTTGGATCCAGAAAATCACGTCTGCTCCTGGCACTTCGCTCTTCGACTATGCAGACACCGGCAATAAGCGCAAGCACTGCTGCTTTTGCACACGCGCGCGTCGAAGTTGTGAAGCTTCCTCCACTCGAGCTACTGCCGCAGCGTCTACATTGGAACTTAGCAGCTGACTCACATCCAAGCTGATATGGGATCCTCCATCCACAGCAGGATGACCAAACGAGCAGCCCTCGTCAAGCCTCTCACCATCCTTTGCCCATGCCCATGCCCAGAGCCATTTGCCCTGGAACGCCATTTGTTGCTCCCTTCCCAACACCCTTGAGTTCGTGGGCTCCATGCGCGAAGGTGCACGACTCACCCCTGGGGCAGACACCATCTGCTTCAAACATGCGGCACAGCACAGTCTTGTGCTTTGCTGGGTTGTAGCTTCCACCTCCTTTTCCCCAGCCTCCTTTCCATCCACCACCCCAGCCCCCACCCATGCCCATCATCATCGCCATCATGCCCATCATGGCTTCCATGCCTCAGCTGGGTCACAGAAAGGAGCATGATATGGGGGCTTCCAAACACAAAGCCGTTTGGGGGGTTCCGATAATGAGGATTGTAGCCTGTCGAGGACTGCGTGGTATCTACTCTATACCCTGGCCGGGTTCCTGGATTGTTGAAACAATGCCCTTTCGAAGCAATCTCCATGTAAACTACTGTTTGGGTTGAGGCAACGTAGAGGCTTTAGGGTTCACGATGACCATAATCATGTTTAAATAGGGCCTACGGCTTAAAGTTTAGGGCAGCCTCAAGCACGAAGAGAGTGGGGATTTGTAAGCCCTGCAAAAAACCTTCATGTCTTTTATTAAGCTGGAAGACAACTAGCTTTCTCCCCCAATAGTAAACTTCCCCACGCCCTAATAGTAACTAACCCCAGGATACATCATTGTATAGTCTGGGGGTACCCTAAACCCTAAACCCTATCTCAAAATTAGCATGAGTGGACAACTGAATCGTGAAGGCACTCCTCAGAGCAACCGTTATTTCAACCCTACTACCCTAAGCCCTACACCCTAAGCCCCAAACCCTCAACCCTGAACCCTTCTTTGCAACAGCCTTTCTGAGCCTAAACCCGAAACCCTAAAGAGTAGTTTCCAGCTTCCTTTCCATTATCCCAATGTATATGACCCTGAAGGCCTTAGTCAGGTTTGGGGCTTAGGGCCTTGTAGGGTTGTACGTACTATCTCCTGAGAAGGACTCTCAGTGTGCTGGGCATGAACTCCGCCCGTGAAGGCAACTCCGTAACGCTCTCAGAACGTTGGGTTTAGGGATTTCGGATTTCGGTTTGGGGATTAGGGTTGAGGGTTTGGGGCTGATGGCTACTGGTAAGTAAAGGTCAATGTAGTAGGCTGCATCTGTTGGAGATGGGGCCAACGGAAGACTACAAACGGTGAAGCCATGCCTTTGTACTCAGCCAAGGAACCCTTGCTGCCCTGTGTCTCTGAAAACTGAGACATAAATGCTAAGCCCCGCAAGCAAACAAAGTGCAGTTTTACGTACTATATAGCACGGAAGACCCGAGAATGTAGTGTGTACCTACGCAGGTACTAACGAACCCGTGGGCTCCAGTCAAGATGCCCTTCATCTTGCCTTTGCCGCCCCCCTTCCGCTGATCTTTGGGTGTTGCGAAGATTGCACTCACTTTCTCCTTGGGCTCCGGGAGGCCATTTGGGTTTGGGAATCAGGGTGCAGCAGGGTTATGAGTCATGTACTTACCGAAGCAGCGAAAATTGGGGCCCTTAATGGCTGGGATAGCTCCAGTTGACAGCCTGACTGACTGCCCTCTATAGCTCACATGTTAATTGCCTGAAGAATAGCTCATATTGGGGACCTCAGCATTGAAGCTTTCGTGGCTGGGGCTATGATGAGTCCATGGAGGTTGGTTAAGGACTATGAGAATATGTTACATAGGGGTTGTATTCCCTTCTTCCCGACTAAGAACCAGTAAGTGAACCCGGCTGTCGGTGCGAATGGGTTTAAGGATCGGGCTGGTAGGAAGCTCTTGGAACTAGCGATAAGACAGCTTGTACTCATAATTACTCATACAACCCTTCACAGAATTCCAGCGGGGGAGCCTTATCCGCCGTTCTGGTAGGCTTGAGAAAGAACTCATGTGATTCAGATGAGCCTAACCACTCATAAACAATAAATCCTCAAGCGAAGTATAGCTTGCATTTAGACTAGTAAGTCGCTTACTACTGGGGATGACCAGGGGTACTAAGTGGTTTGTAAATGTACTTTCTAAATCTCCCTGACCCTCCAAGTAAGGGAACTGGGACATGTCCGAAGGCTAGAATTTCAGGAGCTTTACATCCAAAAGTCTCTGTCATCTGGAGTTTCCATATACCCTGAACCCTAAACCCTTCAGGAGATAGGGGTTTAGGGACTAGGATTCGAGGCTTGGGAGTTTTTGTGCTTAGGGTTTGAGGTTCGCCCATCTAGGGAGTGACTTGAAAAAGGGAACCCCGGACGTTTGAAAGCCTTAAACCCAAGACATCCATACATAAGACCCCTCTATTACTGTACGCCCTTTGAAAGGATCCATACTTTTTCTTGAAACCCCATCTATACCCAAGATCATCAACAAGCATTTGTGGAGCTTCTCAAACACGTCACTACAGTACCTTAAGGTCTAGGGTTTAGGGTTACCTCAGCCCTCCAATTGTCCTTGAACATGGGCTACAGGATCCCTAATAGTGGATGAGTATTTGCCACAAACACGGGTAGTCGGAGGATCTTGGTATACAATCCATCCTTGAACCCTAAATCCTGGACCCTAAACCCTAAACCGCGTAGGAGCCCTGTATCATCCCCGTCAGGCAGCTGTTCAAATGCCTGTAAAACAGCCGTAAGGTCAACCTTCTGGGGTTCAGGGTTTAGTAAATTCCCTTTTTGGTCAGGATCACTGCTTCTAAGAGAGTATTCTCACCCCGCTCCCCTGCTCACAAGGATCCTGCGAACAATCCCAGGCATTCCTCCTAAACCCTGAACCCTCAAATTCATCCCTAGAGTTCCCGATGGCCGACACCCCCAAACCAGCCACTACACAGGAGAAGTTTCCAATGGGAAGGCGTGACATAATAAAACTATATTTGGCGGGGGGGAGGGGGGGGTTACGTAGGGTTTAGGGTAGGTTTCTGAAAATGGGAGACCCGATATAGACCCAACGTACTGATCCTCAATCTTGGGGCCGCCACACAAATACCATATACTTTGGGGAGTTATAAAAGAGGCGTAGAATATGAGTTGGGTCCTGCCCCAGTGTATAATAGGAGTCATATTAAGGGCTACATATGACTATGTTATATTTGTATTAATTATCCAACTGTTAGTGAGTGGGGGCAGTACTCAAAGTATAGGGACTTTACACAGGTCAACTTGTGGGTAGCTGCCTTCGACTGCATGCTGCAAACGTGGCAATGCAAAGTCAGGCCAAAAGCCGAGGCATCTTAGGGTTCAGGATTGAGGGTTTAGAGTTTAGGGCAAGGATCTGGGAGCTTTCGAAAGTTGGAGACCATTTTTGGCGGAGCCTTATAAATAAGAAGGTTAACGGAGTCTGGAGGACCAACACTGTTGGAAGTGCTATATGAACCACCAGAAACACAGAAATATGCTAACAATTTGCTGAAGCCCCCCAGTGAAATCCAAGCAACTCGTTCAAAGCGTCTGTTCGCAGCTTAGGCGAATTTATACTACTTTCTGATGATAACATGAACAACGTGGCAAAATCATCAACATTCGTATTGCTCGCGGCCTAGATGCTGTGCACATGGCTGCCTTGCATAAGCTCAGCTCTAGTGTCTTGCATAGCGCGAGAAAGCTTGATTGAACTGAGCTTACATACAAAGAAACTGGCAAAGTTGATGCGTTCTGCTCTTGAACCCTAAAACCAAACCCTGAACCCTAAACCGTAGGTGACGCAGGGCACACCTGGGTGCCAAGTAGTGGTCATGTCTGTACGAAAAAAATGGACGGTTAGGGTTCAGGGTTTGGCAAAGCAAAATGATAAGTCACCCTCATCCCGAATCGAGTATCTATCGACTGTTCCGCCGAGCTTCTGTCAAACCCTGAGGAACATTGCCATTGACATTCTCGACAATCCATTTCGCATCTTCAACCTTGACGCTTTCCATTGGGTTCTAAATCTATGAATCATATCTACTTTGGGCGCTGATGTCTAAACATGGTACCTACAATTGGCCTACTTAGATTCACCTAATGTTCGGCCTTTTAGTTGTACGGGGCCTCTTCTGGGGTGGGTCTTCAGGCAAATATGCATATATATAAATATATATGTATGTTCGTGTGTGCTATAACGATGATGTACAGTCTATGAAAAATGTCAGAATACCTGACATTTGCAAACCCTAAAAAGAAATCATCCGCAGGTGGGTAGTTTAGATGCGGGTAGTCTTCCATGCGCCGTCCATACCGCTGCTACAACAAGCTATGCAGGTTATATGAGGTCCTCAGGGAGCATTGTGTAAACTACCCACCTGTAGCCCAGCCACCGGTGTTGATCTCATATGAAGAAACCCCCGCATAATTGCAAACTCCAAGTCCCATAACATAATTACACACCCCCCACCCCCCAATTGCAAACTCCAATCTGAAAAAACGCAAGAATTTGGAAGCGCCGGAAAAGCAAAGTGTACTACTAGCTAGTACTACTATTGGCTACGACGACTGGAGCTCCAGCTCATGGACCCGGATACTTTTAATTACGGAGGCTCTGGCCTAGATCCTCAGGGGGTTGGGGGGGGGAGGGGCGGGTGGTCTTATCATGAGGTGAACATTAGGCCCTAAACCCTAAGACTTGAGAACGCAGTGATACGGATCCGCTTGCGGGATCAGGCTAAGTTAATGTCTATGGGGTCTAGGGCTTGGGATTGCTTTACCCAGCCTCTTGCCCGGACCCTGGATTTTGAACAAATTCCTTTTGGGTTGCGTGCACCTGACCCACCCTAGGACTTCTAGCTATTGACAAAGAATCTTGCCAACATGACAGAGTCTGGGGTTCGGGGCATAATATCATGATATACTAGAGGGCATCATTTTTCTTATGGGGGGTGTGGATGACTACACACAAAGTCATTACAGTTCAAGCTCCGTAAACCCCAAACCTGAACCCTGAACCCTATAAGCCTAAAGCCTAAGACTTGAGGATATTGAGCTAGGGACTGCTGGGCTTGTGGGTACCCCAGGGTTTCAGGCCTTAGGGTTTGGGTTTACCCTAAACTCTAGGCCTAAACCCAAACCCTACAAGCACAAATCTAACGAGAGACCTTAGTCCAGGGCGGATCCAGCTTCAAATCCAAGCTTAATCATACAATGTAAGCCCTCTGCACCCTGAAGCCTCAGCATGCTGAACCAGTTCGTTTAGGATTTATGGTGTTTAGGTTTTGGGTTTAAGATTCAGGGTTTAGGATTTTAGCTTTTGGGTTTATAGCCTAGGGCGCTGTAAAGCCTAGAACCGTGTCGTACCAGATGTATCCGCTTGCTGCTGTACATGTACAGCTACTGCTACCGCATCCACTGTGACAATAGTCTCTTATCGTTTGAGCGCAGAGTTACTAAATAGGGGACTTGTCCGAAATTATTTTTGCCAAGACCGGGCCACGGTGTTCATGATGATGAAGGCAGCAGCGGCCTGCTTACCCTCCTTGATCGGAAGAATATTGGCCTCCTGGGAAGGGCTTACTTGGAGGGTCAGGTGGACCAAGTGACTAGGTTTAAAACTTGGACTGTTGGAGTTGTTGCATTGCTTGAAAGGGGTTATAGTCACAATTACTAAGTTCGGCTAACCCTCCCAGTCGGGTCTCAGAACAATTCGTGTTTAATTGCGCGATTGGTGTCGGAGTGCACGATGTGGTCCTTATGAAGTGCCATGCAAGGTGCACGGTTTAGGATTTTTAAAACAAGCTTGCACTTAGAGCACCAGGTTCCGAGTCTAAGTATGTCGGTTAGGGGCCTCAGGAATTGCAATCCACGTGGCTGGTCTTAAATGGTAGGTTTTGGGGGTCAAGGTTCGGGGTGTAGAGCGTGAGCTTTGAAGAGTTAGAACCTCCAACCACAATTACCTACAATTCTATGGGTACTACTAAACTGTCAGCAGATGGGATTGCACTGAGCAACTGGGGCTTCACAGACCAACAAGAGGAGCGACCCCAACACGTTTCTTTGTGGGGTGCTATTCGGAGGTTTCCCAACATTGAAAATTAGGGCTACCTTTAAAGGGGACCGCGGGGGATGTATAGGGTTAAGGCTTATCCCAAAATTACGTAGGTATGTTTCTTGAGCGGTCCCCATAATGCGAACTATAGTATTTGAGGTCTAGCATGGGGTCCCTCTAGTTAGGGAGACTGCTATCTCGAGTCATGCCTCCATATACTTTGTCGGGATTTTTAATGTGATAAGACGAAAAAGAACCCTTGTACACACATGGAGGCAACAACGTGAAACCCTAAATCTCAGGCCTCTCAACCTTGAACTTTCAAATCCTTAGACCCTGAAACCCTTAACCCTGAATATTTTGACCCATCTAACTTTAATCCATTAAACATGCCGACCCCTGGGCTCAACCCAATGCCACAACCTGCACACCAAACCCTACATGCAACCCGAATACTCATGTGTTCCCTTACTACCCCCATCTATACCACCCTCCCTAGGTTCCCCCCTAAATTAAAATTACTTAAGGCTAAAAAGGCTTAACTAAGGGTATGTAAGGGTGAACCTTGCGGGGACCTTGCGGGGGATAGTATAGGGGAACCCATGAACTACCTACAGCTCAAGTGCACTTACCCCTTTATTTGTAGGCATAACTCATAAAGCTGTAGGTAATTGAGGTTGCAGATAACCCCGAGGCCGACTTGGGTGTTTGGAAAGCGCAAAAGCCCCTTCAAATGGCTCTTTAAAAGTTCAGGGCTTAGGGTCTAGGATCCTTTAAAGAAGCATGCAGAGGTTTGATAAGGATGTTCAGGTTTTGGGGGGAAGGTTACAAGAATTAGGGGCCCCCTGTCTCAATTCCAACCCTCAGCCCTAAACCATATTGGGGCCCAGAATTGGCAGCAGCCAACTGTCCTTGCTAAGCTAGACTCCAATGCTCCCAGTCTCGCACTGTCCCCAGCAACCGCGATGGCAACAAACATTTTGCAAAGCCAGTATGTTGGGTTTGGGGTTTAGAGCCCCTGCCCGTTAGCAGCTGACTTTCCTTCTGAACCCTACACCCTAAACCCCTAAACCCTAAGCCCCTACACCCTAAACTCCCAGCCCTAGGCCAAGTCTCCTTTACAGTTCCATACTGACTGAAAACCTTTCTGGCACTGTCGCTGGTACTGTCCAACGGCAAGCCGGACCTGGGTCGTAACGGGGTGTAGGGTTTCGGGTTCAGCAAGGTTTGGCAAAAAAGGGATTATGGGTGGGGACTTTATGGAGTCTAGTCACAATTTCCCACGTAACTAACGGACATGGGTTCGGTTGCTGAGAAACATATTAAGGACTGACTAAACTGACAGGGGCCCTTATGCCGACCCTTAAAGGTCCCTTGGTAAGCCTAGTGTTGAGAGTTGCTCCAACGGGGGCCATATGGGGTTTCCTCAGATTAGCGGTACCTTCTTGGGGCTCCCTATGATAAGGATTGTAATCTATATAAGGGTATCCCTATTTTGGGAAGCTGCCATATAGGGGCTAGAAAGAGGTTATGTAAAGGAGGATTCTATGTACGGCTTGGAGGTTCATGAGGAGGTATAGAAAGACTAGTCAGTGCCGGCATCCCCAGCACATTTGGCCAGGGCTAGCTTGCAGCAAGAACACCCTCCACTGTTGCACAACAGCAGCTCAACAGCAGCACTGGTCCCTGCAAACAAACTCACAAAACACAGCGTTATCAGTACTCAAGCTACATCGTCATCAGCACTCAAAGCTACATCGTCGTGCCCAAATGGCTCAGTCTCTCCAGGGAATGCAGGTGGTGAAGAGGCATGGCAAAGGGCTCACCCTCACATGGGGGACTGTCAAAATTATGGTCCCTTTTTGGGTCCCTATTATAATACGGGGCCTAATTTAGGGGACCCAAAAAGGGGCCATAATTTTGACAATTCCCCACATACAGCAGCGAACACAGACCGTCGTGGTTCATCTGGCAGAAGCTCGACATGCAGAAAAGGACATGGAGAAAGTCCCACGTCCATGCAGAAAGCTCCCAGGTCCATGAATTCAACTTTCCAAACTGTAACTTCCAGCAGGTAGGCTGAAATCCCGCGCCATAGCAAGCGACACGCAGCATGCAGATTGCTGCTAATCGTCAAAGGGTTTAGGGCGTAGGATTTTGTAGGGAATAAGGGGAATACATTATAGGGCTTAGGGTTTTGCACGAAGAAGGGCAATATATTTCCAGGGATTACATAGGGAGGATGCTCCCTTATTCCCTACTAACAACCAGTTAGTTACGGGCATTTCTCAGGAATCCGTTCTTGAAAGTCCCTGCAAAATGGCTTGATGAAATCAATGTGGGTGAGTTGAAAGAATTTTGGGTGAGTTAGCAGAAAGGAGGTCGATGTTGTTTGAAGTCCACAGGTAATTGGAGGTAATCTGGTCGAGCCACACGAAGAGAGTCTCGCTGGGAGGCGCGCTAGGCGGCGTCGCCATTGCCATGGCAGAACTGGGGCAGCGATCCAAGGATGCCGCTACTCCGAAAGAAGGCCACAGATCCACAGAATCTCATCGAAGAGCTCAAAATCTTAGCCCTTTCAGTAGGATGGCGTGTGCTGTGAAGTTGATGGGTTGAAGCTTACCGGTTGCCGTGCGGAGTTGATCACCCTTGTGTAGCCGAAAGAAGCATGCGCACGCGCAAGGACAAGGTTGTTCCAGCAAATGTTCAGGCATACCATGCAGGTGGAGCGCATGTATAACGCTGAAGTTAGAAGTATGCAGCTCCTTGACATCAGCTTCAGTACAGTTGATCAGGAGTAACTTTGGTTTCCAGTGTCAAGGACTTTCTGAAGGTTCCACTTTTGGCTGTTTGGGCGCTCTACAACCCAAAAGGGAAAACAGTTTAACCGCTGGACAAGTGAGTTGATCAAGCAAAAGCCAAAGTCCAGGACAACTGGGTTGCTGTTAAGGAACTTAAATTAAGTTACCATAATGGGTATATACATATATATAGTAAATAATAGCCATAATGGGTGTATATATATATATATAGTAAATAATAGGGTTTCCCAATATAGTAACTTAATTCAAGTTCCTTAACAGCAACCCAGACAACTGCAGGCGGGCGGAGTATCATTTAAGCCTTCTTTCCTCAATCTTCTTCCCCACCACTCCCCAAAAGGGCTGTTTATATCCATGGTATCAGCATTGCATAGTCAAGGCCTGAGCCATGTGCAACCTGCTAGAATCACCCTACACCCTAAACGCTTGCTCAGCCGCCACGGCTGAGTACTGGTCTCCCCTCATAATACCCCATCCCCACCCCCCTTGTCTAGGGTAGGTTTGGGGGGGCCCTAAAAAAACACTTTCTTAGGGCTATGTGGGGATTAAGGGTGATAGAAACTGAAAAAGATTTTCAAATAACCCCGGTCATACTGAATACTCGCGACAAAGTAGCAGCACCATTGTATTATGGGGACAACATTCATTCTTAGGGAGAGGTGCTTTTTTTGGGTGCTGCCCCGACCCAGTAATAGCCCATAAAGGGGTAACATTCAGTGGTTTAGGGATGTTTAGGGTATTAACGGTTTTACACAGTGATGTCCCATTTCTCTCCAACTGCCACAGTACCGACATGGGGCGGTGTCCAAGGGATACATGCTGGAGTTTCATGGGCAGTGGGGCGAAAAGTAGGATACTGTAACTACAGTCACAACCATTTGTAATCATGTTTGGGCGTCTGCTTACTCTACTTATGACTGCCGCTCATTAAGCTCTAGGCGGATTACGTAGATGACTTGGGTACTGCCCCCACACAGTAACAGTCTATATTAGGGGTCCTATTAAGGGCTATATATAACCATATTATGATTATTATCCAACTGTTCCTGAGGGTGGGGCAGTACCCAATAGATGACCCCAGAAGTGCAGCTGACCACTCCTGGTCGCGTAAATTAAAGCCTTTTCCGCTCAGATCTCGCACGAAATCCGCGATACATGTGGGTCCTCCCGTATACCACCGGAACAAGATAATTGACACCGTAGATGAAGTAACTAGTTCAAGCCCAAACAGGGGACCCAGGATTTTCAGAAGCTCGCATATAAGACAGCAGCAAAACTGTGCATCTGAATACTGGAATCTACATTGGCCGTTCAGTGCCCAACGAAGTCGGTGCCACATGGAGCCACAGCAATCCGAGTTCACCGGATTAGCTCATTTGGATAATGCGCAAATTTGCAGTTCTCTCCCCAGGTGCATTTGCCCTGCATGTAGAAGTCGCACATGCGCGTCTTGTAAGAAGGCGCTCCTTTTCCCATAGGTGGACCTGCGCCCTTGCCCATGCCCATGCCCATGCCGTTGCCCATGCCGGTGTCCATGCCAGCGCCCGCGCCTCCGTTGGAGTCCCCATGCCAGAAGGTGCAGCCATCGCGAGGACACGCCATGCCAGCCTCGAAGTACCGGCAAATCTGCTGGCCTGGGGGCGGCTTTGGCGGAACCCATCCTCCCTTGCCACCTCCCTGCATCCCAGCCACAGCCCCAACCAAGGGAACAAGCAGCTGCAACAAGCCCGCCACAGCTGGATTGGCATTGCTGTTGCCGTCCTCCGCGCCCTTTCCGCCCATGCCACCACCTAGGCCCGCAGCCAGGCCGCTCAGGGCACTGAGGTCCATGCCCTTGCCAAAACCTTTTTCGAAGCCCTTGCCCTTGAACTTGAAGGTCACTGTGACAGGCTGGGTGAGGCTCTGTGGGACGTTGCCGTTGACGTGATCCACAATCCATTTCGCATCATCTGCCGTGGTCATCACCACAACTGCCGCCGCCGCGGTCTTGCCTGGAGCGACTGGAAGCATCCTTGCATCCTTCACAATGCCGTACTGGCCGAAGATTGACTTGGCAAACTCAGCGGTGCAATCAACGGGAAGGCCCGTCACGAAGAGGGTTGGGCTGGGCGGCCCGCTTGGAGGTGTCGAGGACATCATTGTGCCTCCTACTCCGCAAGCTTCTCGCGGTCAGAAGCTATGGCGGGATACTGCCTTGCTAACTATGTACGCGCAGGCCGCAGACCTGTTGACAAAATCGCGAAATTCAACCCTTTGAGGCTTGCAGACCCTGTGTTGTTGTTGTGCTCATGTCTCTTACTTGTCATGTCAAAAACGCGTGTTTGAGCCGCAGCGCGCGGTGTGTCTCCATCGCTGATGAAGGCGCAACTGTTTGTACTCTGGCCACACAAGCTGAACAGCTGGCCACTTTTGCCGGCTACCAACGTTGTACAGGGCTATATTGGGGCATGCACTGTGCGGGCTGAGGGGCTCATCATAGATTAGTGCAATAGCAGAGGCCAGGGCACGAAAGATCGGGTTGCTGCTGAGGGACTTATACTAAGCTACTATACCAAGGAAACATGGGCTTTAATAACTTAATCAAGGGTCCTAAACCCTAAGCCCCACACAGCAAAAGATAATTGGGAGTGGGTGCGAATATTGAGAAATTTGGGTCTTACTGTGTGAGACGACGAAGTAGACGACAGGGAGTGGGGCTAGGGTTTAGAGCTTAGGGCCCGCAAGCCAAATTTGGGGCGGCTTCCCAAAATTGCAGGGCCCATTTTTGCGTCTGATCGGAATTATAATCTTTCGGATAGTTTGGAAAGCGTTTGGGGTATTTTTTTTGACGAGGATGCATATTGTAGGCTGACCCAGAAGTACACATATACCGACTGGGTGGCATTTATGCTTCACGCGTGCTTGGCTCTCAGGTTCACGGTCCCACGGACATGGAATTGCTCCAAATGCGCATGCGCCCATTCTACTCACTGACTGCTGGTAGAAAATGGGGGAGCGGATGCGTGTAGTAGTCCGTATACAATAGTGAAACCCCCATTCCATTCTTTCATTCCCTACCAGGCCCTCGACCTACTTGTCAACACCACCACACCCCGTAATAAGAAATTTTCTCATAGTTTGCAATAGTACTACGTTAAAGGTATTCCTTACTATGGGAGAGTGGGATTGATCATGAGGAGGGGGCTAACCTGCAAGTCTAATGCGAAGCTAGGCACCCTTTTTGCTGCCGTCGCACACGGGTGGGTTCGTTTATTGCCTGCCTAGCTAATCACGTGCGTGATAGGATATAGCTACCCCTCAGTATGTTGAGCGTAGGCCTTCGCAGCACGATTGCTTCGCATGTTCTGAGCCCAAGGGCTGGAAGCATCAAGGGTGTAGGGTTTGGGGTTTGGGGCTTCGGGTTTTCGGTAACAAACTCCTTCAGGTTATAGCAGCTGAGACTTTAAGTCCGCTTATTGGGGCACTTGGACTCTTAGGGGAATTCAAGTAGCGTGGCAACAAAAGTATGGAAGCTCTCTTGAAGCGGCATTGGACTTTGTATCCTTCCCCAATGCTAGCCATCTTGGAAATGGACAGTAGTCTTTGAATGCCCTTCGGGGGTTCAGTGTTCGTTTGGGGGAATACCTATCCTCGCGTATGCAATCGCTGCGCTGAGGGTAACTTAGGGATACTTGATATTTCTGCTTCCTTTCGTATTACAGCCTAAGAAAGAAACAGCACAAACCTATTTTTTAATTGGGGTTCCAAGTTCAGGATAGGGGAAAGTAAGGTAGCTTTTGATGGTGTACCCATCCGCATTCAGGGTTGTCTAGTAAGTTCAGGGACTCTACCCGCCAGTGTTATGGATTCTGTGCACTACGCTAAACCCTAAACCTTGAACCGTAAAGCCTACCTTCTAAACTTCGTAGAGCTTACTTGTCCAGTGTCATTGCCTCTCCCAAGTTCCAAGATTAACATGTTTGGTTGAGTTGAACTTATGTTACAGGCAAGTAGGTGGTAATTACAACAAAGCTGTGCGTTTAGGGTTTAGGGTCTGGGGTTTCAGGTACGTAATTGGGCGTTAAAGCTGCACCACATGGCTCAGGAGCATCCATGGTTTTGTGTGTTAGCCTTGGTCTAAGACAGGACCAGCATCATTCAAATGTACACCCCTGAATGGCCAACCTGAGGCCTGGCAATACGCTGGCAGACATAGCAGTATTTTGGGCGGACATCATCTTCTATCTTCTTCGAAGCCGCGTATATCACAACACTCCATCACAAGCTGATTTACACAAAAAGCTAAACACCTCGACTTCTGAGCTCTTAAACCCAGACCCTAAACCCTATAACCCTAAATTGTGTTCTTCCCAAGTGCTCCAAGCTGACGCTACAATGTTACAATGGCTCCAACTTGGTACCGGGACAGCCGACTTCACTACCATTACCCTAGGATGGTCATTCATGATTCACGGCTTTGGGTTTAGGATTTAAGGCTTAGGACGGCTAGGGTTTATGGGATTTATTGGCATGCCTTAGCCCCACCCCCTAATTAGTAGTGACCAGAAAGGAAAATGGCCCATTATAGAAGGTCCCTGTCTCTTAACAAGATAAGGTAGTTTCCCAAAATAAGGGAACCCCAATATAGACCCCAAAATATTATAATCCTTCTTCTAGGGACCCCCAAAATGGTACCCCTAATTTCAGGAAACCCCCATAACACCAACAGTGTGTTGGAGCCCAACAGAAGGCATGCCTCCATCCCGCCCCCCCAACCCATCATCATGAAGGTCCCTACGTAGACCCTATTAGGGTTTAGGGTTCAGGGTTTAGGGTAAACCCTAACAAATCTTCTTTGCTGTCGGGCCTATCGCACTAGTCCTCTACCCGCATAAACAAGTCCCCTGCACCCCCATGAATTTTGAATACCAATGACAATAGAAGCGCTACTGTACAACGATACTATTTTGATCTATTTTGGGAATATGTACCACTAGGAAGAAAGGTGGGGGATTTTTTTGGGGGGGATTTTGTTATTATAGGAGAGATTACATACACCTAACCTATACCTAAACCTGCTAAACCCTGAGCTTCAGACCCTCAACCCGTAACCCTAGAGAAAGGGATTACCTAAACCCCCCAAAATATGTAAAATAACAGCCCTAAACCCATAACAATAGCCCTAAAGGCCATTATTTTACATACTTTTGGGGTCTAGGTACACAAGCCATCAGCGCCACCTTGTGCTCATACATTTGCGGCATGTCATCACCACTTGCCCTTGCCTTAGCTGAAAACTCCCTTGAAAGCAGTTCAAGAGACCATATAGGGACTATATAGGGCTTAAATTAGGTGGCTATATGGGAAATTCAAAAACGTACTCCGTAAATAAGCCCCAGAAAGGACCCCAATCATCCCCATATACTCCCCATATATCCTGGTCCTTGCTTCCCCCTTTTGAGAAACTGCCTGATATCCAACCCCAAACCCCAAGCGTTACATGTCCCTACGTACTCCTTTAAAAGGACCCAGGGTTCCACTTCATTCTCAATGTTCTTAATTATCCAGTTTGTTTGATTCTTCATTGGACCATATGGAGAGATATGGGGCGGATTACTTGCCCAAGAAAGCCAACCTGCAGCAGAATAGGGGTTTTGAGTCTCTCACCCGTATGGTGAACCCTTTTTATCCCTAACACTGGGAATACTTGAGCCACTTAAAAATGGAAATCCCGTGACCCGTGTCAGCAGCATTTTAAAAACCTTGCCACTTCTAAAGCAAGTGAAAGCTTACCAGCTTGTGTCCAAGCTACCGTTGTCCCAGCCCTTACCACCTCCCTTGCCGTAACCGCCATCCCATCCTCCGCCTCCTCCACCACCACCACCTCCCTGCATCCCAGCCACAGCACCCACCAAGGGAACAAGCAGCTGCAACAAACCCGCAACAGCGGGATTTGCATCTCCCTTCATACCTTTGCCGCCGTCTGCACCCTTTCCGCCGCATCCACCCATGCCACCTCCCATGCCGCCCATGTCCCAACCCTTGCCGAAGCCCTTCTCGAAGCCCTTGCCCTTGAACTTGAAGGTCACTGTGACAGGCTGGGTGAGGCTCTGCGGGACGTTGCCGTTGACATGCTCCACGATCCACTTCGCATCATCTGCCGTGTTCATCACCACAACTGCCGCCGCCGCGGTCTTGCCTGGAGCGACTGGAAGCATCCTTGCATCCTTCACAATGCCGTACTGGCCGAAGATTGACTTGGCAAACTCAGCGGTGCAATCAACGGGAAGGCCGCTTACGAAGAGGGCCGGGCTTGGTGGGCCGCTAGGAGGAGTCGAGGACATCATGGCGCCTTGTGCTCGTGGACCTTCTTCGCACTGAGGGTAGCTATGGCAGGCTTCCGGTCTGGCAGATCCGTTCTGCGCAGGAACCGGACCTAGTCACAAAATCTGGAACGACAGTCCTTGAAGCTTGCAGACAGATTTAATGTCCTGTTATGAAAATGTGCCTGTTTCACCCTGTTGGTCGAACCCAAGTGTCTGAGCCAAGCAGGCAGAACACTCTGGCTGTCGGGGGCTTGAAGCTAGGCTTTTTTGGATTCAGGGTTTGGTCGGGTTGGAAGTGTGGTCCAGAGTTTTCGGCTTGTGGCTTCCCGGATAGACGTGGTGTCAATTATGCAGTTTCGCATAGCATGACCACCTGCGCGACTACTTTATGAGATAAAGGCTCTAGTATCTCTAGTATTTAGGCGTCTATAGTGGGGCCCTCTTACTTTGGGAAACTGCCATATTGACACGAATGTAGTTGCAAGCATATCGGCAGTTTCACAATAAATGTTCACAAACCATCGTCCAACTGAAAGCGTACATTACAACAAGCACTGATGCCACAGGCCCGCGCTTCAGTCTCCTGAACCATATGAGCTCTAGCCTAACCTCCTACTATCCCCCCAAAATAAGCTATCATACTTCCCCATATAATCCCCTATATAAGCCCCCTTTAAGGCGTGTAGGCTATAGCTCATACGGGTGTACTAATAGCGCTACTGATTTGTTTTATCGTGTTGGTATTTGTATGGCGCGCTGCTGAGTAACACGGGGAGCTTCCCACGAAGAACCCGAAGCACACGTCAACAGTGTAGCGAAAAGAACAAAAGCACACATACATAATGTTGCCTAGCTGCCGTTCCCATAAGAGTGCCCGTAGCTTGTGTGCAAAGGGGGGTAAGTATGGAAGTAAAACGAGGATGCAAGGATTACCCATAGGCACACCTACCCTTTTCCAGGACTTAGTCGGTCGCAAAAGCGAGCAATAATCATAGTATACGGTACCCAAATAGACCTCAACACGACATTGGTAGGTATTCGATGTGCAGCATAACCTTACTTTAGCTGCTCAAGTTTTCTTGCATTTTCGAGAGGGGAATGGATCACTGGTCCCGTTTTGCGGATCCTGTCTTGTCTTGAACGCTTGGCTAAACTCTACATCTGCAACTGCACAGGGAGCGGCTCTTCTTCCCCGGCCACATTAAGGGATTACAATAGTACCCCCCCCAAAGGTACCCCCCCCAGGGTTTAAGGAGCTAATAAGGACTATATAGGGCTCAATAAGGCCTAATAGGGTTCTAAGTCTGGGGTGTGGTACCTTTGGGGGGGGGGTACTATGGTAATCCCTTACACATTCCATCTTGGGGACAATATCCTACTAAACCGAAAGTCCTAAATCCTAGGTGCCCAGTAATTACCTTCCCTACCTGCCGGGGTTGGTTATCAAGGGCCTTCTATGGGATATCCGCATCTATTTGTTGATGCCCTTTCTGGGCCCCAACTACCTACGGCTTTTGTCAAAGGTTGATACGGCTTATCATATGGCATGCGCATGTGCTGCATACGTTGACAAGAACCCCTGGCCTTCATGCTCATTAAGGGTACACCTTTTGTATGTTGGATTTCACTTTACCCAAAAACGTGACAAATGTTCCGGTGAACAGGTAAATCATGGGGGACAAGATGAAAAAGAGATGTGGAGGCTACTGGCATAGCATGAAATGGTCAGAAACGGTTTGGTCTAGCGTGTTGAATGGAAGCCTGCAAAATTCTGCGGTGTACGTACCTTGAAAGCTCCACGACTCTGTTCATGAGCAGTCCGCCTAATCGAAGAATAAGCGAACATGACACTAACCCCCTTAATTTCAAGTTAGGTCACTCCCCCTTACAGTAACCGTTGCCACAATAAGAACTAGGAGTTATAGTAGCCCCTTGCTAAGCCCCCTTCAAAGACAGGTGCTGTAAGGGGGAATGACCCAACTTCCAATGCTATCTTTGCTCATCCTAGTCTTACCCGAAACCCCAAACCCGAGCACATGCACAAGCACCTACAGATGCGTCCTGACCGTGATGCAATCTCCTCCCCTAATAATCACACCCCCGCCCCCCGGCCACCCCCGCCCCAGTACCTGCCAATACCTAATGCCCCTAACATATCAAGGTACCATGTTGAGGGTATTTGCTAATCAGAGGGGTGGCGGGGGGGGGGGATTAGGGAGAGGGGATTATGCATGATGACCTGGTGAAGGTCAGGAACATGCCTTTTACTGCCACTGCCCTTAGGTGGGTCGGTAAACAGCCTGCAAACTGTTCCTATAGGATGAGATATGGCTACCCCTCGAGGTTCTGAGCATAGGCCGTCGCAGCATTATGGCGTTGAATCCTCTGGGCATTAGGAAATTTAAGCGAATCTTCTGGACATTAGTAAATTCAAATTTAAATCACTAGGAATAGTGCTGCCTCGAGTCTGCACCTCGAATCCTAACAGAAGAAGACGCCAAGACAGCCTAATAGCTGGATAAACGCAAATCAAAAAGTAGCTGCAAGGCCTATGGCAGTATACTACTGTTCGCAGCTGCCTGTCATCCAGACTCATAAGGCATCCTCCACGTACGGCCTCTCACCATTTGCCCTTGCCGCCGCCCATGGCCATTTGCCCATAACCGTTGGCTCCCTTGCCGCCCCCTTTGTCGTAGCCGCCACCCCAAGCACCTCCACCACCACCCCATGCACCGCCACCTCCTTTGCCCCAGCTGCCTCCTCCCCAGCCACCACCGCCCCATCCACCGCCGCCCCAACCGCCACCGCCCATCATCATGGACATCATACCCATCATGGGATCCATGCCCTTTCCCTTCATGCCTTTGCCCTTGCCACCGCCCTTGCGCTGCTCTCGCGGTGTGGCAAAAACTGCTGTCACTTTCTCTGTCAGGCCTTGGGGGACGTTGCCGTTGACATTCTGAGTGATCCATGTTGCATCCTCGACTGTGTTCATGATGACGAAGGCCGCCGCAGCAGTCTTGCCTGCCAGTACCTTTGCCGCTCTTTAGACCCCATTTGTGCTCGTGCAAACAAAGTTCCAAGCATACAGAAAACAAGATGATAAGCAAGCAAATAGTAGTATCACCTCCGTGTGAATAGCAGCTTTTCAACGGCTTTTGGAAACCTCTTATTCAGGCCCAGGCCTCTGGAGCCTTTTCGGTCACTCCAATCAGAACCATCTCCCACAAATACGCCACTACCGCGTCCTTGCATTACAGCCTAGTTTCCGAATCAATCCCGAAGGGTCCCAGTAAGGGTTGACAGTTGAGGGTGGTACCCCATAATCATATAGTTCCCCCCCCAAAAAACGTACTACAATTGCTAGTACCAAGACATCGGGAACCCAATTATTAAGTACGTGGATCCCTGGATCCTTCGGGCAAAACTTGCTCCCACATTCACCAGAGGCACCGGAAGCACTGTGGTCTCCTTGACTGCACCGTACTGGCTGAAGATCTGGTTCACGCTCTCTTTGGTGCTGTCAAGGGGCAAGCCCGTCCTGAAATGCTGCTTGCAGATCATCATAAGGGTTATATAGGAAGACACGTATGCAATGGAAGTACATGTATACATATATATATATACACATATATTTTTTGTATTTGGGGGGTGAATCGGGGTACATAAACCCCTTGTCAGAGTCTCTATAAGAAGGGTGACAATACTTCGGAGTCGACATTTGCTAAAGACACATGTCCATACTACTACTACTACTACTACTACTGCTGCTGCTGCTGCTACTACTACTACTACTACTACTGCTACTACATCTCCTGCTGCTACTACTGCTACTACGAGTACGATGACTACTACCACAAAAAATACCTCTACTACAACCACTGCAACTACAACAGCAATTACAACTGCTCCTCCTACTACTTCTCCTGCTGCAGCTACTGCGGCTATTGCTACTGCTACTCATTATATCAATGCGACACGAAGAATAATTGCAGGGTGGTAGTCCACCTAAGGCATAGGAGCATTGTTGTGTACTTATAAAGTTTCTTATACTAACATGGAGGGCCTACGCGAACTACGCGGAATGGCTGTTTTCCCTGCGGAAGAGACTACGCGGGGATACTCTTGCTGTTGAACTGACTACGCGGACTACGCGGCACACCTGGCCTACACAACGTTCTACGCAATATGTTTTATGAAACATACAAACTACGCAGACTGCGCAGATAAAGATAACCTACACGTGAGTACGCGAGACTACGCCCTGCAGGCCCGAGGCTACGCGAGCACTCTTGCAGCTTCATGGCCATCATAGCTCTTTCAAGCAGAAACAAACGCTGCTCATATGAGCTATAGCCTAAACTCCTTAAAGGCGGTTATATGGGGGATTATGTAAGCGGGTCTTCTAGGAGTCATTAAGGAGGATACTAGGACTTCAGCCTATAGCTCATATGGATCATCAACGCCGAGGTCACGTCCGTGCTGCAAAAATTGGATGACAAAAGCAAGCTAGGACTTGAGGTAGGGACCGGGTCATGTAGACCCCTGATACATGGGGTAAATATGGGGGTTATATAGGGATAATGGATAAGAAAATGGAAGCTACTTTAGTATATTATACTAAAATAGGATATAAGATTAATCAACACCTCCTCTTAAGGGCCTTAATATCAGGATCCCATTATGATCCCTATTAAGAGGGGTGCACTCAAAACAACATGCCAAGGTCAGCAACTTCGCACAAGGTCATGTCAGCATGCAGAGAACATCTGCTTTTTTGGGGGAAGAAGCTGTGCTACCTCAGCCTTACTCTACAGCTATCCTATATAAGCACTACCCACATTGGGAGGCCAACAGCCGTAAATGGTACCTACTTTGCAGACTAAGGTCTATAAATAAGCTCTACATGGTACCTGCTTTGGGCCATCTGGAGCTTGGGATTACCGAGGCCCGTTTCTCTGAGAGCCACAAACTCCCGCCCCAACCTTCATGGGGAAGGATCCGGCAATGCATTGCGGATCTAAAAAAAGGCCCTCAGTTTGGGAAAGCTATCATATACTGTATCTGCGGTCCGTGAAGTGTTCGGATTTGTTTGACGCAGTAGCCCAAAACAGGATACATAGGATGACCTAACCCCTTCTGCTCAATTTCGCATTCACATACATGCAACGCTCTCACTTCAAGAAGCCTTCCCTAATCCCTTCTCACAAGAATGAGCTACTAGCCCCCAATCCCTCCAACAAGTAATGCATCATCGGGGTTTTCTGTGTTCTTTTCCATGAGACTATTCACTATTTCCAACGCCTTAGGCGCCTTAGGATTTAGGGGTTGAGGTTTTAGGGGCTCAGGGTCCTACATGTCACGCATCCCCAATACAATCTTTTGCAAGGGACTTTCTTGTTGGGGCTATCCGTAGAAAGGGCCCTGCAAGTACACATTACTACCTCATAGCCGCCCCCGCCACCTGGCTGAAATGGGTAGGGTTTAGGTTAGGTTGGGCCCCACTCGCCAATGGGGTACTGGGTGGGGCCCGACCGTAAACCCTAAAGCCCTAAACCCTACACCTCAACGGGGTTTTCCAGAAATTGAACACCGCGGCCAAGGCTCACGAACAAAGTCTCGCTTGGTGGAGGATCCATGGCGGCAATTTGTCTGGATTGCTGTCTTCGACTCTACACGCGACGCAGCAATTGCGAAAGCCTCATACGAACATGTGCCCTATATCAGCTGCAAGTGCTGATGACATACCATCTCAAAATGGTAGCCTTCAGGAAACTTGATCCGCGGCATAGAATGCTCCCAACATGAAGGCTGACCCGATAAGGGGTTCAGGGTTTAGGGTCTACCACGTGTAGATTACCAGCAAAAATCCCACACACAGGTGCACAGCTACCTGGTGCTTAGTTGAGAGTCAGAGAACCGCTTTCTGCAGTAGCCCCTATCTAATCGTTTTAGTGTCCCTGTAGACATGCATGGGGTGGCTGGGGACTTCAGTCCCAAAGTTGTGCTTATCATCTCTGCATATTTATTAACGAGCCACGCAAGCCCCATTAAAGGTAGGAGTACTTTGGCCATGCGTGATCTGCTAGTTTTCGGACGCATGTAGCCAGACGTTGCCTTCTTGAGCTTTCTAAAAATTCCAGGGGAGGTTAGGTGTACTGAGCGGTCATCCTCAGAATCTTCCTGTTGGGTAGCATATGCTACATGCAACCAGCCTCTGCAGGCTGTTTAGGTTCCCAGGGAATCCAGTACCCGGTGAGTAAGGGAGATAACCTAAGTCATATTCAGGGATCAATTGAGGGGTACTGGATTCTCAGGGTCAGTACTGTAAGGGCGCAAGCACGAGTGCATTTCACAAGTATTACCCATACTCGTTGGCAAAGAGCTGATGGCCGGGTCATTGAATATCGAATTATACGTCCTGATACTATCCCAAGACGCAATCTGAGGGAAACGTTGTAGATAGAAGCGCAGCTAGAGAGATATGACATCTCACTTATCAGTATCCTATTGGGGTACTGACGGTTCCCTACAAGTAGTATGTTCCTCCTTGCAGCGACCCGCTGAAGGGTCCATAATTGTTGGAGACCCGCATCTCTCCTCTTTTTGTCGGGAGGCACATGCTGCTGGAGACATGTTTGCCAAACTCTCTATAATGACAACAGCAGCAAAACTGTGCTTATGCACATCGCGGGCTTGAATTTGCGGTTCAGTGCCCAAGGAGGTACCACAGCGCTCACCATGTCATCCCTTTCCCATTGCCCATAGCGGCTCCCCCGCCCTTGCCGTCACCACCGGCGCCTGGATTGGAGTCCCCGTGCCAGAAGGTGCAGCCGGTTCTTGGACAGGCCATGCCGGCCTCGAAGTACCGGCAAATCTGAAAGCCGGGGGGCGGTTTTGGCGGCACCCAACCCTTGCCTCCTCCCTGCATCCCAGCCACAGCCCCAACCAAGGGAACAAGCAGCTGCAACAAGCCCGCCACCGCTGGATTGACATTGCCGTTGCCATTGCCCTTCCCATCCTCTGCACCTTTTCCTCCCATGCCACCACCTAAGCCAGCTGCAAGGCCGCTCAGGGCACTGAGGTCCAGGCCCTTGCCAGGGCCAAAGCCCTTGCCAAAACCTTTTTCGAAGCCCTTGCCCTTGAACTTGAAGGTCACCGTGACGGGTGTAGTCAGGCTCTGGGGGACGTTGCCGTTCACGTGCTCCACGATCCATTTTGCATCATCTTCCGTGTTCATCTCTACAACCGCCGCAGCAGCTGTCTTGCCTGGTGCAACAGGGAGCATCCGCGCATCCTTCACGATGCCGTACTGTCCAAAGATCGCCTTGCAGAAGTCATTGGTGCAATCGGTGGGCAGGCCCGTCACGAAGAGAGTAGCGCTGGGCGGGCCGCTGGGAGGGTCCGATGACATCATCATGCTGGGCAATTGTTGTGCAACCGATGCACAAGGGTAATAAGGGCAGGCTACTGCCGGATGGCCAGACCGGTGCAATCCGGTCTAACAGGCGGAAACAGCAACTAACCGCTATAAGTGATGCATACAGTGCATGCCTCGCAAACCATGCTTATGTGCTGCACTGACATGCTGTAAGCATTACTGGTCTGCATGGACCCTGTGATCAGCCGGCGGCAGCGGGCAAGGAAGCTCAGCAAGAGTCTGATCCAGAATGGACCCTACCCATGACTACAGTCAATATTTCTTATACAATTTAATTGACATGGGTTCCTTATTGGGGACTACACTATGGATGATACTAAATTACAAGAGGGACCCCTTTGTCCGTTGTCAAGGGCCGAAATAAGGCTAGTATTGTCAGTAGCTCATGTAACACGGTATCGCAGGGGAGCCACCAGTCTGGCCAGGGCGCTCTCTATAAGGGATAGCACCCCTGCATCAGCGACCTCATGTGAGCTATAGTCTGAACTCCTAGTATCAACCTTCACAGCCGCTAGAATACTCCCTAACATATAATACTCGCCTACATAATCCCCTAAATACCCCTTTTCTGGATTTTAGACTATATAGCTCATGTACGTTCTCGCGTTCTTGTGGACCTTCCTCTGGAACTTGATGGTAATTGCTCAAACTTTAGTCCAAATAACCTTTGTGATGCGCGAGAACAGTTTGCTATCGATTGTGATCACATGTAGCTATGACCCACGTATAGTCTTTAGCAGCACTTGCAATCCAAGTATCAGCCCTTGACGCGGTTATACCTGGGCTGTAAGTACAATTATGAAGGAGTATATCTACCCATGGACCCCCAAGTGCCTAAAGCGAACAACCCGAAATCCTAGACCCTAAAATCCCCGTAGACTCCCATGAAGATCGCTAAGCCCTAGAACCGAACGCAAAAAAAACTACTAGCTAACATTATGGTCCAAGATTCTTTGTATGTTATAGGGTGCCTCAAATGGAACTTAGCATGATGTTGGTAATAATTCGGACCTCTACATTCCTATTTCTAACCCCGGTAGTATGAACCCAGTTCCCATGTTCTATTCCATTTTCTTGTGCAGTTGATTAACCCTAAACCCTAAACCCTAAACCTTTTTTTTGCAACAGGCTTTGGAGGAATGCCGCCTGGAAATAGGCCGACTGGCCGATGCTTAAAGCAGTCCCAAACCCGAAGCCCTACGCCCTAAACCCTATACCCTACAAGTGATACATTCCCATATTAGGCTGATTCTCTTTTCTGTGTGTAGCATGAGTTGTCCTCTATAATCCCTTCCCCTGAAATTTAAACGGCGCCGTAATATCAAACAACAAATTCAGCGCCTAAGTTTCCTGAAAAATACTTTGTTAAAGCGGAGGACTACTTTTGAAAGGGGCCACCTAATAATGAATTGGGGCGTTCAATGGATAATAAGCTGAATGGATACCTAGGTGACTAACTGGTTAAATACTTCTTGAACTAGTTAATTACTACCTGATGTTAACTTACTGGCTGATTTGATCAACATATTTGTCATTTAGTGTCCATGGAGTCATGCAGTGTAAAGGATTTTAAAGGCAGGCTTACCTAATTCTTCCAATTGATGACGCCAGTAATATTTAGATATTTTTTCGTGCCCCGGAGTATTTAGGGGGTGGGAGGGACGTCGTTTAATATCAGGGGGAAGCGGTTGTTAATCACATATATATATATATATGTAGCCCTTATATTACCCTATGACATAGTCCCTACATACACTTATTTGCAAATACCTTGGCCTAAACCCTACACCCCTAAATTCAAAACCCTAATCCCCTAAACCCGAAACGCCTACACCCTAAATCCTGAATGAGGCACACACCCGGACCGGCAGCAGCAAGCCTCATGCCAACGGCCTGAGCTTAAAGGACTTGCGGCTGAGTGTTTAGGGCAGGGTTTATGGGCTTCGGGTTTAGCTGTCTACGGTATACAGTAGTGGTTACTTGGAGAGTCAGGGGGACTTCGTAAGTAGGTTAATAAGAGGGATAATTGGGCTTCTGATATTTATATGGGTTGTAAGGGCTATGATAAGTCTACTTGCGAAGTCGCCCTTACCCGCCAAGTAGGGTGTAGAGTAGGATCATATTCCTTCCGTGCTCCTGGGGTTCCTTGTTTTGGGTCCATGCGCAGCAGAATTGCAGAGATTGAGCCTGGCTAAGTAGTACAAACACTGAACGGTCCTTAGGGGGCATAGCATAAGTCCTGATTCCTAAGTTTCTGGGGCGATTATGTCACAGTGGACCAAGATACATAGGAATTAGGACAGTCATGGGGAGTCACATGGAAAACTATGGAAAAGTGACATGGATTGTGCGGGGCTTATGGGAAATTATTCCAAATATTATGGTTCTAGATTCCTGGTACAAGTAAAGCATCCCTAAATGATCCCTAAACCCTCAGGCCAAACCCTGAGCCTGGGGAATGACTCAGGCCGCTAATACTCAAACCTACCCTCCCGGAAACTAACATGGAACCCAACCAGGGCCCTATAAAGATTACGTACAGTCCTTTTAAAGGGGGACTACATGGGTTTCCATGTTAGTTTGGGGGAGTGTAGCGAACATCAATCTTCACAGCCTACATGGGAATTGGACGCTGTTTAGGGTTTAAGCCCTCTCTTTCCGAGATTGCAAGTTCCGGCCGGCCCCCAAACCCTCAACCCTAAACGTGCTTCCAGGATTGGTCGGTCGTATGTACAGTGCCCTCGGAAAGGTCCTCGTTGTTTTTCCCAACGTTGACGTCCAGGATCGTGTGCTCATAGCCCTAAACCCTAACTGCAAACCTGAAACCCCAATCTTTAAAGAGGTTGAAGGTTGAGCTACGCGACAGATAAGTCAAAAGGGCTGTAGTAGTTCTTGCAGGGCGCTTTTTCAGGTGGGATTAAGGTTTTGACAACCCCGTGCACTAAAGAAATAGGACCACATGCCAATGATGTGACATGTCTAGGTTGTTTTTTGTTTGGGGGGATTACCCACGCTCTCTTTTGAACGATCCCCTAAACCTGGAGCGCAATCCAGCAGGACCAGGTTCAAGGATGTGGAACGTCTGGGAACACACTATTTTTTACGGAGGGCATACCAGGGTTTAGGGTGTAATACGGTTTAGGGTAAGCATCATAGCACGTACTCATGTTGGGGACCCTCCGAATTGATCCGTGAGCTTGAAGTAATCATCTAGACCATTTCATCCTTCCGGATGTTTGTCGCCTTCTCCGTCTGTGTGCCGAATACACATACAAAACTAGACACTCTAGACACTAGACAAGGAGTAGCACAAAGGCGTCTAGGTGAACCCTACACCCAAAAAGCGCCCTGAAACGAAGCAGCATGGGATTGATACTTACTGGGGGTTCGTACGAAATGGCGGAAAAGACAATGGAAACTACTATCATGTATTTTGGAAATCAGATGGGATGTGTTCTTACGAGCCTGAAGGTTTGGTGTTTGCAACATCCAAGCCCTGCACCCTGAGGGCGTCTAGAACCAGAATGCCGTGGTTCCTACACTGCGCTTCCTTTGAACTACCCAGGCGTCCATCCCAGCACATCCAAGTGCAGGACGTTGCTTGAAGTGAATACGGCATGTCGAAAAGCTGGACCTGCGTGATTGCATGACCAGTTTGAAGCTACTTATGTCGGCCATGTGAGCCCTTTGGGTTCTTTGGGTTTCAGTTTGGGACCTTAGAGTTGGAACCAATGCCACAACGTTCCCCTATGGAAGTTCGCGCAAGTCCCGGATGTTGAAATGAACCAAAGGGGGCAAAGTGGTGGTCTTTCCAGGGTCCTTTTGGCTACTTGGCACGCTCAACCCTAAAGACCTATGTTGGAAAGCAGGAAGGCTATGATGGCATCCTGCTTCTGCGTAGTTCTCAAAAACTGCTGCTGGGGATAAGGGTTCAGGGGCTTAGGGTGTAGGGTTTAGGGCTTAAGGGTTCAGGGTAGCGAATATACAGAAAGTGTGCGGGGACCCCTGAGGTTACCTGGTGATCATGGTGAAAGAAGTTTCCATGCAAGTACTTATGTGATCACTACATGCTTGATGCGTGGTAACTAGGCTAGGTTTGGGCCGGCCTTTCATGCCTCTTTGGGGTTTACATCGGGACCAATGGCAAATAAATATGGGACAGCATGTCCAAACCGACCCAGGCAAGCGTCCCACAGTCTGGCCTCAAAGCAAGGCATCAGCAATCACGACCTCTTGTACTATCAAAACCATCAGAAACTACCAACAGCCTCAAACACCATGGCACCAGCACTCGAAGAGTGTGAAGCTTCCGGTTCTTGATTGCCGAGCTAACCAACGAAAACGGAAGCACCAAAATCATAGCAGTCGCTAAAAACACGGTTCCTAGGCCCTCCCTCTACCCTTTACATACCCTAAATAGGGACCATATACCCCAATGAAAAGGATACAGGGAGGCTCGTGGGTTTATAGAGTTTAGGGTTAGAGGTGAGGGGGCTGACACAGACGCGCCTGCCTCACCCCGGATCGTTCTCACTGTCGCTGGCTGAAGCGGCTCGTATTCGAACACCCTGCGGGGCTGGGGCACACTAACACTACGGTTGATGCAAATATCCTGCAGGACCAGGAACCACGTCATTTCGGTATTCTATGGACATGCAGGACATTTAGAACATCGTAGCTTTCCAGAAAAGGGTCTCGCCCCGGCTCAAACCTCACAGTTGACCACTTTGGTGTTGGATAGCGTGAGAAAGAGGGCGCGTTCATCAGAGGGCGGGGGTGAATTAGTCGGATTCGTTTTGGCTGAAAGCTATTTGATATCCAGGCGCTACAAAATCAAGCTTGCTCAGAGGCCTTCCTAGGATACGTCAGGTTTAGGGTCTAGGTAGGGCAGGTGCAAGCGTAGTCCAAACAAGGGGCACAAACAGAAGAACCAACAAGGATACCCAACTGATTCGACATATATATATATATAACGGTGT